TGTTGGGCAGTGTTGGACAGTATTGGGCAGTGTTGGGCTGTATTAAGAAGTGTTGGGCAGCGTTGAGCAGTATTGGGGAGTGTTGGGCAGTATTGAGCAGTATTGAGCAGCGTTGGGCAGTATTGAGCAGTATTGGGGAGTGTTGGGCAGTGTTGGGCAGTATTAAGGAGTGTTGGGCAGTGTTGGCCAGTATTAAGAAGTGTTGGGCAGTGTTGGGCAGTATTGAGCAGTATTGGGGAGTGTTGGGCAGTGTTGGGCAGTATTAAGAAGTGTTGGGCAGTGTTGGGCAGTATTGGGGAGTGTTGGGCAGCGTTGAGCAGTATTGGGGAGTGCTGGGCAGTGTTGGGCAGCGTTGAGCAGTATTGGGGAGTGTTGGGCAGTGTTGGACAGTATTGGGGAGTGTTGGGCAGTGTTGGGCAGCGTTGGGCAGTGTTGGGCAGTATTAAGAAGTGTTGGGCAGTGTTGGGCTGTATTAAGAAGTGTTGGGCAGTGTTGGGCTGTATTAAGAAGTGTTGGGCAGCGTTGAGCAGTATTGGGGAGTGTTGGGCAGCGTTGAGCAGTATTGGGGAGTGTTGGGCAGTATTGAGCAGTATTGAGCAGTATTGGGGAGTGTTGGGCAGTATTGAGCAGTATTGAGCAGTATTGGGAGTGTTGGGCAGTGTTGGACAGTATTGGGGAGTGTTGGGCAGTGTTGGACAGTATTGGGGAGTGTTGGGGAGTGTTGGGCAGCGTTGAGCAGTATTGGGGAGTGTTGGGCAGTGTTGGACAGTATTGGGGAGTGTTGGGCAGTGTTGGGCAGCGTTGGGCAGTGTTGGGCAGTATTAAGAAGTGTTGGGCAGTGTTGGGCTGTATTAAGAAGTGTTGGGCAGCGTTGAGCAGTATTGGGGAGTGTTGGGCAGTATTGAGCAGTATTGAGCAGTATTGGGGAGTGTTGGGCAGTATTGAGCAGTATTGAGCAGTATTGGGGAGTGTTGAGCAGTATTGGGGAGTGTTGGGCAGTGTTGGACAGTATTGAGCAGTATTGGGAGTGTTGGGCATCGTTGAGCAGTATTGGGCAGTGTTGAGCAGTATTGGGGAGTGTTGAGCAGTATTGGGCAGTGTTGGGCAGTATTGGGCAGTGTTGAGCAGTATTGGGGAGTGTTGAGCAGTATTGGGGAGTGTTGAGCAGTATTGGGGAGTGTTGGGCAGTGTTGGGCAGTATTGGGGAGTGTTGGGCAGTATTGAGCAGTATTGAGCAGTATTGGGAGTGTTGGGCATCGTTGAGCAGTATTGGGGAGTGTTGGGCAGTGTTGAGCAGTATTGAGCAGTATTGAGCAGTGTTGGGCAGCGTTGAGCAGTATTGGGGAGTGTTGGGCAGTGTTGAGCAGTATTGAGCAGTGTTGTGCAGCGTTGAGCAGTATTGGGGAGTGTTGGGCAGTGTTGGGCAGTATTGAGCAGTATTGAGCAGCGTTGGGCAGTATTGAGCAGTATTGGGGAGTGTTGGGCAGTGTTGGGCAGTATTAAGAAGTGTTGGGCAGTGTTGGGCAGTATTGGGGAGTGTTGAGCAGTATTGGGGAGTGTTGGACAGCGTTGAGCAGTATTGGGGAGTTTTGGGCAGTGTTGGGCAGTATTGAGCAGTATTGAGCAGTGTTGGGCAGCGTTGAGCAGTATTGGGGAGTGTTGGGCAGTGTTGGGCAGTATTGAGCAGTATTGAGCAGCGTTGGGCAGTATTGAGCAGTATTGGGGAGTGTTGGGCAGTGTTGGGCAGTATTAAGAAGTGTTGGGCAGTGTTGGGCAGTATTGAGCAGTATTGGGGAGTGTTGGGCAGTGTTGGGCAGTATTAAGAAGTGTTGGGCAGTATTGGGGAGTGTTGGGCAGCGTTGAGCAGTATTGGGGAGTGCTGGGCACTGTTGGGCAGTATTGGGGAGTGTTGGGCAGCATTGAGCAGTATTGGGGAGTGTTGGGCAGTGTTGGACAGTATTGGGGAGTGTTGGGCAGTGTTGGGCAGCGTTGGGCAGTGTTGGGCAGTATTAAGAAGTGTTGGGCAGTGTTGGGCTGTATTAAGAAGTGTTGGGCAGCGTTGAGCAGTATTGGGGAGTGTTGGGCAGTATTGAGCAGTATTGGGCAGTGTTGGGCAGTATTGGGGAGTGTTGAGCAGTATTGAGCAGTATTGAGCAGTATTGGGCAGTGTTGGGCAGTATTGGGGAGTGTTGGGCAGTATTGGGCAGCGTTTGGCAGTGTTGGGCAGTATTAAGAAGTGTTGGGCAGTATTGGGGAGTGTTGGGCAGTGTTGGGCAGTATTGGGCAGTGTTGGGCAGCGTTGGGCAGTGTTGGGCAGTATTAAGAAGTGTTGGGCAGTGTTGGGCAGTATTGGGGAGTGTTGGGCAGCGTTGAGCAGTATTGGGGAGTGTTGGGCAGTATTGGGCAGTATTGAGCAGTATTGAGCAGTATTGGGCAGGGTTGGCAGTATTGGGGAGTGTTGGGGAGTGTTGAGCAGTACTGAGCAGAATTGGGCAGTGTTGGGCAGTATTGGGCAGTATTGGGCAGCGTTGGGCAGTGTTGGGCAGTATTAAGAAGTGTTGGGCAGTGTTGGGCAGTATTGGGGAGTGTTGGGCAGCGTTGAGCAGTATTGGGGAGTGTTGGGCAGTATTGGGCAGTATTGAGCAGTATTGATCAGTATTGGGCAGTGTTGGCAGTATTGGGGAGTGTTGAGCAGTATTGAGCAGAATTGGGCAGTGTTGGACAGTATTGAGCAGTATTGGGAGTGTTGGGCATCGTTGAGCAGTATTGGGCAGTGTTGAGCAGTATTGGGGAGTGTTGAGCAGTATTGGGCAGTGTTGGGCAGTATTGGGCAGTGTTGAGCAGTATTGGGGAGTGTTGAGCAGTATTGGGGAGTGTTGAGCAGTATTGGGGAGTGTTGGGCAGTGTTGGGCAGTATTGGGGAGTGTTGGGCAGTATTGAGCAGTATTGAGCAGTATTGAGCAGTGTTGGGCAGCGTTGAGCAGTATTGGGGAGTGTTGGGCAGTGTTGGGCAGTATTGAGCAGTATTGAGCAGCGTTGGGCAGTATTGAGCAGTATTGGGGAGTGTTGGGCAGTGTTGGGCAGTATTAAGAAGTGTTGGGCAGTGTTGGGCAGTATTGGGGAGTGTTGAGCAGTATTGGGGAGTGTTGGGCAGTGTTGAGCAGTATTGAGCAGTATTGAGCAGTGTTAGGCAGCGTTGAGCAGTATTGGGGAGTGTTGGGCAGTGTTGGGCAGTATTGAGCAGTATTGAGCAGCGTTGGGCAGTATTGAGCAGTATTGGGGAGTGTTGGGCAGTGTTGGGCAGTATTAAGAAGTGTTGGGCAGTGTTGGGCAGTATTGGGGAGTGTTGAGCAGTATTGGGGAGTGTTGGGCAGTGTTGAGCAGTATTGAGCAGTATTGAGCAGTGTTAGGCAGCGTTGAGCAGTATTGGGGAGTGTTGGGCAGTGTTGGGCAGTATTGAGCAGTATTGAGCAGCGTTGGGCAGTATTGAGCAGTATTGGGGAGTGTTGGGCAGTGTTGGGCAGTATTAAGAAGTGTTGGGCAGTGTTGGGCAGTATTGAGCAGTATTGGGGAGTGTTGGGCAGTGTTGGGCAGTATTAAGAAGTGTTGGGCAGTATTGGGGAGTGTTGGGCAGCGTTGAGCAGTATTGGGGAGTGTTGGGCAGTGTTGGACAGTATTGGGGAGTGTTGGGCAGTGTTGGGCAGCGTTGGGCAGTGTTGGGCAGTATTAAGAAGTGTTGGGCAGTGTTGGGCTGTATTAAGAAGTGTTGGGCAGCGTTGAGCAGTATTGGGGAGTGTTGGGCAGTATTGGGCAGTATTGAGCAGTATTGAGCAGTATTGGGCAGTGTTGGGCAGTATTGGGGAGTGTTGGGGAGTGTTGAGCAGTATTGAACAGTATTGAGCAGTATTGAGCAGTATTGGGCATTGTTGGGCAGTATTGGGGAGTGTTGGGCAGTATTGGGCAGCGTTTGGCAGTGTTGGGCAGTATTAAGAAGTGTTGGGCAGTATTGGGGAGTGTTGGGCAGTGTTGGGCAGAGTTGGGCAGCGTTGGGCAGTGTTGGGCAGTATTAAGAAGTGTTGGGCAGTGTTGGGCAGTATTGGGGAGTGTTGGGGAGTGTTGGGCAGCGTTGAGCAGTATTGGGGAGTGTTGGGCAGTATTGGGCAGTATTGAGCAGTATTGAGCAGTATTGGGCAGTGTTGGCAGTATTGGGGAGTGTTGGGGAGTGTTGAGCAGTATTGAGCAGAATTGGGCAGTGTTGGGCAGTATTGGGGAGTGTTGAGCAGTATTGGGGAGTGTTGGGCAGTGTTGGGCAGTATTGGGCAGTGTTGGGCAGCGTTGGGCAGCGTTGGGCAGTGTTGGGCAGTATTAAGAAGTGTTGGGCAGTATTGGGGAGTGTTGGGCAGTGTTGGGCAGAGTTGGGCAGCGTTGGGCAGTGTTGGGCAGTATTAAGAAGTGTTGGGCAGTGTTGGGCAGTATTGGGGAGTGTTGGGGAGTGTTGGGCAGCGTTGAGCAGTATTGGGGAGTGTTGGGCAGTATTGGGCAGTATTGAGCAGTATTGAGCAGTATTGGGCAGTGTTGGCAGTATTGGGGAGTGTTGGGGAGTGTTGAGCAGTATTGAGCAGAATTGGGCAGTGTTGGGCAGTATTGGGGAGTGTTGAGCAGTATTGGGGAGTGTTGGGCAGTGTTGGGCAGTATTGGGCAGTGTTGGGCAGCGTTGGGCAGTGTTGGGCAGTATTAAGAAGTGTTGGGCAGTGTTGGGCAGTATTGGGGAGTGTTGGGCAGCGTTGAGCAGTATTGGGGAGTGTTGGGCAGTATTGGGCAGTATTGAGCAGTATTGAGCAGTATTGGGCAGTGTTGGGCAGTATTGGGGAGTGTTGGGGAGTGTTGAGCAGTATTGAGCAGTATTGGGCAGTGTTGGGCAGTGTTGGGCAGTATTGGGGAGTGTTGAGCAGTGTTGGGCAATATTGAACACACAGACGTGTGGGGGTGTATGTACATACCCACACATGTTGGCACAGTGCCGTTCCACTGGGCCAGAGAGTTGGGCACGGCCTCACACCTGATGGCACTGGCACCGTGGAGAGAGTATCCTGGGTTACACTCGAACAGCACAAACGTGCCCAATCCAAAGTCATTCCCAATGCGCTTCCCATAGCGGGGCTCGGGCATGGAGCTGCACTGGGAAGCACTGGTCCGTGGAACAGCTACGGAAATGCAGGAGGAAAAACATTTGATTTTTATAAATCTGCATAACAAATATACACTATAGAGTCAATAAATTTTACATCAGTGTATATACTGGAAAATAGCATGAGTAGAATGTAAGTATTATTTTCCAACAGCCTTAATGTAAGTTCAATACAGAGCAGTTGAGAAATACACACCTTGATACACGAAATGAAAACCTTTAGCTGTATTGGGTCCCTCCGTTTTGAACCTGATGGTGATTTCATTGGCAGAGCTCAGCGGCAACGGCTCTCCTATGAAATGAGAAATTTGAGGAGGTGAGGGAAAGAAAAACAGCTTAAACGAGATCATCAGTATGTGTGCCACATCAACAGGGTTAAAGAAATGATGTGTCTTCAGATCACCAACAAGAGCCGCCCACAGGTTGAGACTGAGTTGAGTGAAAATGTGTGTGTTGCATCCTTTTCTATTTTAATACAACATGCAATGTTACAAATTATATTATATACAGTGTCAGCATAGAAATTTGAGCGAGAAGTTTAACTTCCATAAATTGAATAGCATTGCACTGACATGTTGCAAGGAAAATAATGAGATTATCTAATAATTCACTAAAAATCTGAGCATTCAAATTCACACAAATAATATGTAAAACAGTATTTTAAGGGAGTAATCCTCCATCACCGTCTAGAAACATTCAACCTGTGGGTCTGGCCTCTGAGGGGGCCCGACTCATAGGGTGCTTTCACACCTGTAGTTCGATTGATTTGGTCTGGACCAAGGGCGAAACATTATACTTTGTAGCATGATGAAACTAACCAAGATGCAGTCACGTGACAACATCCACATCACTCATTGGCCAGATGTGTCTTGAATGTATTTCCATAACTGCACTTCGATTGGTCAGAATTAACGTGCTGGAAAATTCCACAGATCTATGAAACCCCCTTTCCCTGAGCTGTTCGCTAAACAAAGCTTTGGGTCACCTAAGTAAGGCCTTCCTGCATCCAAGCAGACTGTTAGCAAGTGGATAGTTGAGGCTATCTCTCTTGCTTATGAGGTTTCGGGCCAGACTTCACCTTTGGCCATTAGAGCCCATTCTATTAGGACAATGGCGGTCTCCAAGGCCATAATGTCAGGGGTATCGCTTCAAAAAGTTTGCAACGTTTTATTTTATGTGCAAATTATGTCGGGTTTTATGACTTGGACATGGATGCCCCTGGGTCCTGAGTTCTCAGGTCGTAACCACAGCATGAACAAGACAGGTTCTCGGCCGTATGGCGTTCGGGCATTCTCGTTCCCAAAGCGTCATTGACCCTGAGAAGGGAACGAGACGCTGCGTCACTTTGCCATACGTCCTACATCCCTGTGATCGTCTTGCTTCGGCTAAATTGAAGCTAACGCCGGTCAGACCGGATGTGCTTTTATCCTTTCCTGGTCGTGACGTTCACTCTCGCCATTGGACTATCACAATCAGACACAATCATGCAGAGGCGTTCCCAAAACTAGTGTTACAGTCGTCACCTGAGACGTTTTTTTAAGTCCACTAATATTTTATTTTGTTTCAGCTTTATTTCAATTAACTGAAATGCTTTTATAAGTTGTAGTTTTAGCTAATGATAATAACCCTGGTATAAATGTGTGTGTAAACACTCTGCAGCCCGACTGCGTCTCAGAAGCACATTAACATCGACACACAGCAGGAACGAGGTCTGACTGCGTGTAGTGTAATGTCATCGTGTCTCGGCAGACGAGCCTTTAGCTGGTGTCCCGCGGTAAACAAAGCCTTTACCTGAGTGAGAGCCGTAGCTGGAGCTGAGGAGCGCAGACTCGGTCGAGGGCCCGTCGAAGATCTCAACCACATCATTAGAGCTCGTCTGGAAGAACAGAAACTGGCCGAAGAGAACTGTAGTGAGAGAGAGAGAGAGAAGAGACTGTAGTGAGAGAGAGAGAAGAGACTGTAGTGAGAGAGAGAGAAGAGACTGTAGTGAGAGAGAGAGAAGAGACTGTAGTGAGAGAGAAGAGATCTATCTATCTATCTATCTATCTATCTATCTATCTATCCATCCATCCATCCATCCATCCATCCATCCATCCATCCACAATTGATATATTCCAAACACTTCCCAAACATTTCCTTTATGAAGTGTCGTTCCTCTGGTTGAACCCCTAACAGAAACGGCGTTCTCCCTTAGTGGCTTTCAAAGGGACCTCGTGTGAAACAAGCAGTCCTAAAGCAGTCCTAGAGCTAATAAAACGTAGAGTATATGACATCTTCAACATTATAGCTCATATTTCTGTCCCCCCTTATAGCAGTGTTCCCAACACAATCATCACTTATTGAATTCAGTAAAAACCAGCCCTACTAAAGTCACAGCACAAAAGCCCTAACAAGAGATTCAAACTTCTGCAGGGAAATGCCATAAATTAATATCGCAACTCCAAATAAAGCTATAAACCAGTGGAGGAGTCGATACAGGAACGGTAAAGAGAGTAAGTGAATGTGTTTCGCCCGAAGGCCTCAGAACACAGTCTGCCTTCAGGCCATCGGCGTACATTAGACAGATGATAAAACACCAGTGAGAAAAGGTGAGAAAAACACAGCCATATGTTTGTCATTTCTTATGAATAATTCACAATCACTCTTGCTCTTTCTTTCTACTTTCAGGCATTTGAAGGAAATGTATTTCCTGTAATTGGATGAGGTACGGTAGTTGCACATTTGTTTCGTTTGAAAGCAGCAGAACACAATTTCAGCAACATATGAAGTTCACCTGAGGAGGTGAAGCAAAGATAACGCAATAATACAGCCACACAACACTGGGACTTTCCGAAATCTTATACTGAAGGATCATTACTAAACATCATTTTCATAAATCAGTGTTTTTGTCTTGTTTTCCTGTTAAAATAGCTAGAAATTACATACATGTACAGTAGTGACCAAAAGTGATTTTGTGAAAGTTTTTGTAAGCCTATTGTGTAGTTGTGCTTGCAGTTGATTGTTTTATTTGCGATAATAATGCAATGAAATTTTGTGCCAAAAATTATGAACCGTATGAAAATATGAGGGAGTGTCGGGAAATATGGGGAATGTAATACATTCAAGAAAATAGGGAGGGTGTAATAAATGCAAGACAATATGCGGAGTGTCGGAAAAAAATGAGGGACGCAATAAATGTAAGGCAATATTTATTAAATGCAAGAAAAAATGGGAGATGCAGAAAATATGGGGATGCAATAAATGCAAGAAAACATGGAGGGTGTAATAAATGCAGGAAATATTGGGATGTAGAAAATATGGGGATGCAATAAATGTCAGAAAAAATGGAGAATGCAATAAATGCAAGCCAATATGGAGAATTTAATAAATGCAAGAAAATATGGGGGATGCAATAAATGCTATAAAATATAGATGATGTAATAAATTATAATTATAATTGTTATTATAATTCATCTTAATTTTATTCATTAATAAATCTTAATTTTGTGGTCATATAGTGACAGATCTCTCCGCCGGGTTAGAAACCACACGTTCGCTTAGACGGCTGTGACACATTCACATGGTGATGGTTTGTCTCATGAATATTAATTTGGTGATCCTCCACACTGAACTTCGTGGAGTGCCCAGGAACTAATTAATATTCATGAGACAAGTCTTAGCTATAGCTCACATTCCCGCATGTGAAATATTTCTACTCAACCTTTTCCCTTGTTTTTATAAATATTTCAACACATCTCCAATAAGTATTAACATAAAGATCAGAAATATCTGCACTTATACAACTAATCAACATTTTTACAGCATATCATTGGTTCAAAATCCACCTTTTCATAACTGACTGTTAAACATGAATTATTTTCACTCACTGGCATTGACTAAACAAACAGTGTTTTCGCTAAACTCATGCTTCATCTTATTATCAGCAGTCAATAATGAAAACCTCCTGGAATTAATATTTCAGAGAATGAGATGCCAAAGCCCTCTCGGGTATGTGGTTTGGCAAGCTTAGCCAATCTTATTATAATACAGGTACAGGATATTAGTCAGCAAATCGATATCATGCATCCATTGCACGATTAATCCTGACAGACACAAAGGACGCTGGGTAATTGGGTCTTCTGTTGTTTTTACACAAGAAGCGTGTGGTGTTTGATCTTCACACAATGTCAGATAAGCACCAGTTCTCCACACGCACAGGTCACACACACGATTCCCCCCCGAGGACGGATAAATTAAACAAGAGTCGCAGGAACAATCAGGATGATCCGAACTCATGCGCAGAATAGAAAGCTCAGCCTTTTCAACTGGTAATGGTTTATTAAGTCGAGGAAATGGCACTGCTGTTGGCAAGGCAACCACTTCCCATCTCAACAAGGAAAGCTAATCCAGTAGACATCCTTCCAGCGGAGGTCAGGATTGTGATGTAGAAGGGTAATGGTGAACGTCTGTTCATGTCCTCGGCATCTAACGGCGCCTTCAGGCTTTTACCAGTGAACAAATAAATCAGCCATTGTTTCTTCTCAGACGAAACCTGCTGTCTAAGAAGACGGACCAGCAAACACAGCTTCTTCTGTCGCTGGCTTCAGAAGGGGTTTCATTTCACATTTCTCCATGTTTTACACATTCTGAAAACGAGCCAAACATCTTTGAGATGAATCTGATAGCCACATATTTTCATGCATTTATTAAATTCTCCATATTGTCTTGCATTTATTGCATCCCTCATTTTTTCTGTCACTCCCGATATTATCTTGCATTTATTGCATCCCCATATGTTCTGCATATCCTATATTTTCTTGCATTTATTAAATTTTCCATATTATCTTGCCTTTATTGCATCCCCATATGTTCTGCATCTCCCATATTTTCCGCATCCCCATATTTCTCCAATATTTTCTGCATTTATTAAATACTCCATATTGTCTTGCCTTTATTGCATCCCCATATGTTCTGCATCTCCCATATTTTCCGCATCCCCATATTTTCTTGCATTTATTAAATTCTCCATATTGTCTTGCATTTATTGCATCCCTCATTTTTTCTGTCACTCCCGATATTATCTTGCATTTATTGCATCCCCATATGTTCTGCATATCCTATATTTTCTTGCATTTATTACATTTTCCATATTATCTTGCCTTTATTGCATCCCCATATGTTCTGCATCTTCTATATTTTCTGCATCCCCATATTTCTCCAATATTTTCTGCATTTATTAAATTCTCCATATTGTCTTGCATTTATTGCATCCCCATATGTTCTGCATATCCTATATTTTCTTGCATTTATTAAATTTTCCATATTATCTTGCCTTTATTGCATCCCCATATGTTCTGCATCTCTTATATTTTCTGCATCCCCATATTTCTCCCATATTTTCTGCATTTATTAAATTCTCCATATTGTCTTGCATTTATTGCATCCCTCATTTTTTCTATCACTCCCGATATTATCTTGCATTTTATTGCATCCCCATATGTTCTGCATATCCTATATTTTCTTGCATTTATTAAATTTTCCATATTATCTTGCCTTTATTGCATCCCCATATGTTCTGCATCTCCCATATTTTCGGCATCCCCATATTTTCTTGCATTTATTAAATTCTCCATGTTGTCTTGCATTTATTGCATCCCTCATTTTTTTCTGACACTCCCTATATTTTCTTGCATTTATTTTATCATTCATATTTTATTGCATTTTTGCATTCCCCATATGTTCTGCATATCCTATATTTTCTTGCATGTGTTATTAAGAATTATCTTGCCTTTATTGCATCCCCATATTTTACATTTATGCATTTGGCAGACACTTTTATCCAAAGCGACTCACATTGCATTTCAAGCTACACATTTACATTCTTATCAGTTCTTGCTTTCCCTGGGAATCGAACCCATGACCTTGGCGTTGCAAGCGCCATCGTTTGAGCTACAGGAAAGCTCAAATTTTCAGCATCTCCCATAGTTTCTTCTGCATCCCCATATTTTCTAGCATTTATTAAATTCTCCATATTGTCTTGCATTTATTGCATCCCTCATATTTTCCGACACTCTTATGATAAAGGTGTCCGCTCATCACATTCTCCTGTTTCCTGTCAGAAATCCGGTCCACACCGCGTCTGCTCCTTCAACATCAGAGACTAACGAGACCTTAATGCCGACAGAACGATGGGAAGAAAGGACTCGGCCTGGAGCCGGATCCGCGGGAGACTCGATGCTACACCTCAATGCTAACACACACACAACTTCAAACACTAGCAGACAACATGGAAACAAACCCCCGTCGCTCTGACACAAACTCCATGTCAATTATTCAAGGCGGTGCAACAGACAGTAACAACAGCAGCGACGACAAACATTAGCGCTAGCAAAGCGCTGGTATCGGTGCAGTGAAAACTCTGTGACTCATCTCTCAGGAGTACGATTCTTCCCAGCGTGTTTCTCGCTAGGCTAAGCCGCAGGCAATGTTCACACACACACACACCGACGCCTGGCTTTCCAGAGACAATCGAGGAAAAGTTTTGCACTTAAACAACTCTGGATCTGCTTTACATTCTCCTCCGGCCCTGTCTCGACGACTGGCCCACATCGGTTTAAACAGAACAATTTATGCTCATATTATTTTGGTGTTTGCTACAATACATTTACATGATCTAAACGTTTTTCTCATAATGTAGTACAACTCTAATTGGGCTCCTGTCTCTTTAAAGCCCGGCTTTCCAAAAAAGCCCAGTCTGCTCTGATTGGTCAACCAGTACATTATAAATTTTTTTTTTTAATTAAATTATCCATATTGCCTTTCATTTATTGCATCCCCATATTTTCTGCATCCTCAATATTTTCTTGCATCCCTAAATTTTTTTACACTCCCCATATTTTCTTGCATTTATTACATCATTCCTATTT